TGTGTCCGTTGGTTATGCTTATATGCATGCATACTATAGCCACAATTTTATATGAATGCATTGACTTAAGAAGAGAGAAAAATAATTCATTTCATTTTTCCTGATGTAGCAAACTGGGATTGAGTACTGAGAAAAGGTTAATTCCGCTCCATAGAGAATGCCACAGTTGACATAGTTACAAGGTCATTTTTTTGCCATGCTTCCTATCCAAAGTGACACCTAAATTATCTTAGACAAATGAGAATTGGCTCTTTCTTGCAAAGCTTTCCTTGGAGAGAGGAACCCTTTCCATTAAACACAGCAGAAAAGAAAACAAGAAAGAAATACAATTTTATCAATCTCAAATGATTAATGGTGTTCCAGGGTTTTACTTTTTCTAAATTCTTTAGATTTTCTTTGAAGATGATTATTGTACTGTAAATAAACCGAGACACCTCTTATTTCTTCCATAAAAGTTAATGAAGTGAGAGTTGTGTGCTAAAATAACAAAAATAGCAGATTAAAACTCTTTCAAGCCCTGGCTGGTGTGGCTCTGTTGGTTGAGCATCCTCCCATGCACCAAAAGGTCACAGGTTCAATTCCCAGTCAGAGCACATGGTTAGGTTGTGGGCTCGATCCCCAGTAGGGGTCATGCAGGAGGCAGCCGATCAATATTTCTCTCTCTCTCTCCCTCTCCTTTCCTCTCTCTCTAAAATCAATTAAAACATTAAAAAAACAAACAAACCCATTATTCCAAGTGTTTTGTTAGTTAGAGATAGCAGAGATAGCCAAATAAGACAGTGGACATATAGTTAATTTTTGGAGGGTAGGAAATTGCATTGTTTGTAACATTCTAAAATAAAGAGAGCACTTTTAAAATATTTTGTTGGGAGAAGCACATATGAGCTTTTTAATGTGAAAAGTCACAGCAAAACGCATATTTAGAAATAGTATTTGGCTATGTGGAATGTCCAGAAGGCCAGTAAGAACTATTGATTACACGCCAACTGTTATCCTGAAAACAATCGCTTTTACTTACACTGAGAAGAACTATCCTCTGAAAAATAAAGCTCTTTAGAGGAAAAGCAAAACAATGTTATTTTGTTTATCTTTGTACAACGCTGTTCTTTATGTGACAAAATATAAGTATTTGGAAATGTTAGGTTTGGGTGAGTTTTTGAAGTTTAAAGCATTCTGGCTCTTTGATAAATAAATTAAGGGTATATCAAATATTTTAATTAGTAAAATGACTTTTTAGCATTCTGAGGCAGAGAGTTCTCAGAAAACTTGTGTAAGTGTTCCAGTGAGAAATATGCCTTTTTTTAAAAAAATATATTTTATTGATTTTTTACAGAGAGTAAGGGAGAGGGATAGAGAGTTAGAAACATCGATGAGAGAGAAACATTGATCAGCTGCCTCCTGCACACCCCTTACTTGGGATGTGCCCGTAACCAAGGTACATGCCCTTGACTGGAATCAAACCTGGGACCCTTCAGTCCCCAGGCCGACGCTCTATCCACTGAGCCAAACCAGTCAGGGCGAGAAATATGCCTTTTAAAAAATTTTGTAAAAATGTCTGGTTCTTTCAAGAACATCCTATCTAATAATAGCCAAAGATTGAAATTGACCATACCTTCGCTACGCCTCCCATTGGCTAATCAGCGAGGTATGCAAATTAGCTGCCAACAAAGATGGCAGCTAATTTGCATACTGCAGGCAGATCCCGCTGCGCCGCCCCAGCATGAGATCCTGGCCTGCTGTGTGCGGGGAGGAGTAGACGGGGCGGGCGGGGCAGGCGGCAGCTCAGTTCACCCTGCCGCCAGCCCCAGCACTGGATCTGGGCCTGCAGTGTCTTGGGCGGG